TGCCTTTTATTGCCAGATTAAGAACTAGAGCCAAGAGAATCTTAGTTACTCAGGAGGCTACCAGAAGATTGCAAGTTTGTTTGAGGCTGGTCTGGGAAATTTAGTGAGACCCTCTCTCAAAAAATGGATAGGGATGTGGCCCAGTAGTAGAACTTAGCATGCACAAAGCCCTGATTAATGCTCACTACCAAAAAAATAAAGAATTTCAAAATATTTGCCATGTCATCTGTGTAATAAACTAAGCAATGCAGTCAGGTAGTCTACCAGTGCCCCTGTATAAGTAGTGGGAGGTCTGGATAATTATTAGTCTTCAGTTTTCCTATTTTAACTTCTTATAAGTTACCTACCCTATCTTTTGCCTGAGCTTCTCAAGGCGTGCTATTTGTCAGGCTAGAGCTCTATGGTACTAGTTGCCAAAATGCACATACCCTGATACCTGCCTTCAAGGAACTCATGTCTCTCAGGGGAGATGTAGTACTATAATCTAGCAGCTCGTTTTCCCACTTAACTTCATTCACGACTTTTTATTTATGATTGTGCCTTTTATCTGGAGTCACCACTGTTCATTGAGGCATAGTGCTATTAACGCACAGCTAAAAAACACTTGAGACTTTGTCTGCCTGCACATTTGTAACCAGTTGCATGTTTGACCACAGCCTATTTGTGGGAGACTTTAGGAAATCAGGACACAAATCGTGGCTTTATTTCATTTAGGTCAGTGGTGGCAAACCTGTGGCACACCTGCCACAGCGGGTCGTTGGTGTCACTGAGAGCTGTAAAGGGCTCACTGTCACTGCTTTAGGTCATAGCCTCTGGGTCTCTGTTACCTTAAGGATTTTGTTCTTGGGCCTGCTGAGGCTGAAAGGGAAACTCCCATGCTTTAGAAGCATCAGAAAAAACAGAACACACAACCTGAGAAGGGTCCTGATGGAAAGAAATGTAGCACCAAGATTTTTTCATTTTAAATGGCATCTTGTGCCAGGATAGATTCTGTCTCCACACGTGCAATCTGGCTGATAATCCGAGAACTTTCCTGAGAGCGGGTTGAGACAAAGTCCCTCAACAGTTCCTAGAGACATTTCTAGACTTAATTTCATAGAGTAAAATAGAATGCTGCCAGAATTCTCAGAAGGGAAGTTCTGTTAGAAACGTAAATGCCAGACCCAGATCCTGTGATCATTCTGTATCATTCAAACTTTGCTTTTTCAAGGTGCTATATTTGGTGTAAATATGATGTATTCTCATTGCTTCTTTTTAAAATTAACTCTCAAGATTTTTATGTGTTTCTTCTTTGATCCTGACAGTAAAACATCTTTGCTGTAAAATTAAACCTAAGAATTCCAGTCACACCACAGTTGCTGGTACCTGACTTACAAGGTCGGGTCAGAAAGCAAGAAAAACACATACACACCAGCATTGAAGTGAAGCACAATTAGAATTTAAGGCCACTGAAACTTTAGATTATGAGTGACAGAACTCACAGATAAGCCATACTTTAATGTTTTTAATTGCAGCTTCTTAAGAAAAATTAAAATTCTGAAAAAATAGAAGGAATTAAAAATATTACCCATAATCTTACCATTCTAAGATAAACATTGTTCATTAATACCATTTTTGTCTCCTTCCAGTTTCTTTCTTTACATGGTTGAGATCGTAGTACACAGACAACTTCAATATGAGACAAATAAAGCTTTTGGATTTATATTTTGTGTTCTGAAGGGAATTTTCTTAGTAAAATAGAAAGTATAATCTTAGTATTTCTTTGAAAAAGCCTTCACCTTAGTGATTTACGCTGCAGAAGTGTGGTTTATATAGTTTTAATGTTGATAATACAAAGCTGGCTCCTGTCCCCAGACAGCACTGCCACTGTGCAATGTCAGGACATTTTCCTGTCACAGGGACCATAGTAGAGCAGTAGCCAGGCCTGCACCAAAAGCAAACACACAGCAAGGACACAGGTGGCAGATGCTGACGGAGCATCACAGGGTCTCCCTCGTGGGCATCTTGTAAGTCTTCGTGATGAGCAGCTCCACGGTGTTTTAAACACATGTCTCCATTAAATTCTCCTTTCACCTTCATAGTTCCTTAGGAGGAAGTACGATTCAAGATGTAGGTTCTATTAAGCAAATAACCCCAGATAGGAAGTACCTGGCTTCACCTTAAAGGACACATGCAAATTGAAAGAAATGACAGGGCAGATACACTGAGAATTTTATAACAATTTCAGATGCAAGAAACCAAATAGAAAAAATCTTTTCTAATAAAAATACGATACCACTCCCTGCCCAGGATGGAGATACAGGTCACATACTTTTGAGAAATGAATTACTGAGATCTAACATGCAGCTCAACCCATAGTTAGTGAAAATAATCAACCTAGATTTCATAGGAAAATACAAATGAATAGTAAACGATCCTCTTCTAGAGAAAACAGTAACTTGTATACACAAGTTGTGATCATGTAGGCAAAAGTTAATAACCATAACAGTAAGGAAGTATCTGGGTATGGTGGTATATGCCTGTAATTTTAACATACAGGAGGCCAACGCAGGAAGATCACTGCAAGTTTGAGACCACCCTGGCTACATTGTGAGTTCAAGACCAACCTGAACTACATAGGTAGACACTGCCTCAAAAAAACTAAAACAAAAGCACAGAGGTAGAAAACAGTCCTAGCAGGAGACAGAGAAGGAAGTATACAAAGAAGCACAGGTGAGAACAAATATGAATTGTATCTTGTAGAAATGGGAAAAGCAATTAAAACAATCTGCATAAGCATACATCGTGAGGAAGTTCAAGATATCCAAAAGATTATGAGCATCCTTCTTTTTTAATTTTGCTACTGCGTTTTTAAATACCTGTGGGAGAGATGCATACACATACATGGAAAAGAATAAAAAGTCACCCAGATTTCTGTTACCTGAAGAAAAGTTTGGAGAAGGAGGTGCTTTCTCCCACTCACCTTTGCAGGATAATAGATTAGGATGCAGGTTCTCAGTGCGGCTCGGCTGTGCTGGCCTCTGAGAGTCATTGCTGACCTGCAGACTGCACTAGTGCCTGTCTTGGTGCGTATTTCCATAAACACTGCCAAACGCCCATGTTCCGTTAAAACTCAGTACAGCAAACCTCCATCAGGTCTTCCGTGATCCTAGATGCCTGACTCTGAATTTAATTCAGAGCTGGATTCAAGCGAAAGAGGTTGGACTTGCAACAGAAGATCATTCCAAGTCCACCCCTGTATGTGAGCTGACACACAACTGCACGCATCTGAGTGCATCTTCTATAGGGGAATGGCATTGTCTTGATCTGAAATACTATTTTCTATCCAAAATAAAAAGTTTCCATTTTCCATTCCCAAATTTAATGATTGTCTGAAAATGCCAATCGTACAAGTAAGCTTGAAAACACACACTGTCCCGAGATAGCATATTGGCAAATGGTTTCCCAGCGTTTTCCCCCAGTGCACATGGGCGTTTTTTCCCCTCCTAAAAAACTATGATCACCTTTCTGTATCAACAAATATCAGTCAGTACTTCACATTTTGATGCACACTACTAGAATGTTCTCCTCCCAGTAGTTGCGCTAAAGGTAGATGTAGTCAGTTTAGTTTTGAGAGCTCATTTTATTAAAATAGAAAAGTGCAAAGATCATAAATATTATCTTTTTTTTTTTTTTTTTTTTTTTTTTTTTGGTACCAGGGTTTGAACTCACAACCTCGAGTTTGCCATGCAGGCACTTACACCGCTGAGCTAAACCCTTGGCCCTTTAAAGGAATGCATCTTTTTTTTGTTGTTGGGGGGGGTGGTTTGAACTCACAACCTTGTGCTTGCCAGGCAGGCACTTTATACTGCTGAACTAAATCCAGAGCCCCAAAGATAAATTTACAGCCTGCTGGGTTTAGTGACTCATGCCTATAATCCCAACAATTGGGAGACTGAGGCACGAGGATCGTGTGAGTTTGAGGCCAGCCTGGGCTACAAAGTAAACTTAAGCCCAGCCTGAACTGCATAGTGAGAACCTGTCTCAAAAAAGATAAATAAGTTTACAGCCTAATGTGCTTTCAAGAAGAAAGCATACTTAAAAATACATCATTCGGGGGTTATGGAATGTGATCCAGTAGTAAGAGTACTATGTTTAGCATAGATGAGACCCAGGGTTTGATCCCCAGCACCTCCCCCAAAAGTGGCATTCAGATCAAGAAATAGAACATGCATAACACCACAAGAAGCTACCTTCAGGCATCCTTCAGTCTCCTTCTGTGGATGTAATCACTATTCTGTTAGTTTGTGATCATTTTAATCTAATGGCAAGGGAAAAGAAAGCCTTTTCCGTTTCTGGTTATTTTTCTGAAGTTACTACTTACATCATCTATAAAATTCATTGTATGTCCCAGGTTTTTGAAATTTAATCTCACTGAAAAAAAAAATAAACAGCATCTGTTTAAGGTTGGAAAGTGGTTGGTGACTTGCCATAATTGAAGCAAAGATTCTAAATTATAATCTTTGTGAAATATTTACTCAGTAAATACTTGAGTTCCTTTGGACCAGGCACTGCAGTTCAAAAAATAAAAAGCATCTGCCTTTCTTTGAAATGATAAATTTGCAGAATGATTAGTACCTTTTGCTGCTGGAGAGTGTATTTTGTTTCTGAGGAGTAAGATGTGTGGCTAGAAACTGACCTCTGCTGGGTGCTTCTGGTATAATTTGGAGGAAGGAGCATTATGTAGACTTCCCTGATTTTTCAAACCTGCCTGCCTCTAGCTTTTCCTTGCAATTTCTCTTCTTTCTTATGCTATATTTCTGCAATGATTAATAAATTTGGCTTAGCAGAGTACAAGTTTTCTGCGTGACAGGGCCTTTAGAAGCATTCTCATGTTTGGTTATTAAAGTGAAATATGCAAAAACAGTTCGCCAGATTGTATCTCACCCACAGATAAAGAGCTTCAGTCCTGGAGCTTTGCACCAAAAGAGGGAGTAACTGGCTGCTGTGTGTCTCTCCAGGAATCGACAAGGAGAATGTTGAACTTTCCCCTACCACTGGCCACTGTAATAGTGGACGAACTCGCCATGGATCCGCAAGCCAAGTGCAGAAGCAAAGTGCTGGCAGTTTCAAATGTAATAGCATTAACAAGATCATGTGAAGCTTCCTTTCTTTCAGCTTTCAAACCAGCATAACGTGGGCTCTTCACTAGTGACCCTGCCTGAACTGTGCCCTGTCCCCACGTGTTGCAGCACTGCACTTCGTGTTTTATAAGGGACTCACCTAGTCTGCCATGTCGCCAAATGACCAACTCTCAGAAGCGTTGCCTAAGTTTAATGCTGCTTTCCCTCCTTCTTTTCCTTCTACTTTCGGTGTGTATCTGGTATAAGCAAGTGTTTGGAACAGCTACAAAGGAAGTGGGAGGTGAGGAAACTTGAACTGAGAACGTCCCTGTTCTGTGAGCCGATGAATTCTTGAACACTGCTACTACTGGCCAGCTGTGAGAGCCATTTGCACAGAGCCCTGCCTTGTTTGTTTTTCTCTTCATCATACTAAGTAAAATTGTAATCTTACTTGCACACTTTTCAAGATAGAAGTTTATGGAATAGTAAGAAATATTATAACCCCAGTAACGTTTAATCTGACTTTTAGCTGTGGACTTTTTTTTACCTTAGAAACGAAGGAACCACAGAGGTCATACCTTAGGGACTTCACACCATAAAGCCACAGGCAAGGTACTTTGGGGGTGGGAAGTACTAGGATTTTGTAGTAGACTCCTAAGAAATACTAACATTTGAGGATTAGCAATAATTATGGGAACATAAACCTGACCACGTATATCTTAACAGTACTGAATTAAAGCTATAGGTTCTGAGGCCTTATCCAAACTCACTCATCTACACTAGTTTCTTTCTCCAGTTGATTTTCATTTAATCTTTAAATATGCTAACAGTGTTGCTCTTTTATTTATTTATTTTTTTTGTTTTTGTTTTTGTAAGCCAAAACTGTATTAAGCATAGTGATTATGTTTGTTTGTTTGTTTGTTTGTTTGTTCTTCTTCTTTCCAAATAATTCCAAGAAGGGTAATTAGAAAAAAAAATGTTAAAAATTGGTCCTGAAAGGTAATTTTCATAAATGTTTGCATTAGCTGCATAGCAAAATGGAAATGGTATGCAATTTTTAGAGTAGCTGTTTTTTGTTAAATAATTTCCAAGCAACAGTGTGCTATATTGTATGTGGTCATAAATTTCTTTGACAAGATGTATTTAAAAACCCTTTAATCTTTCCCTTCTCCTCCAAAAATATCAGGAATTTCTTGAAACATTTGATTCTATATGATAGAATTGCCTCTAATCACTGTAAAGTCTGGTCAGCTTGCATCAGTGTGACAATGGGGGACCGTTGGAGTTGCTGCTATACTGAATAGTATGGATTTTCATGGCACAGGGATCTCCGCAGTAATGCAGAGTTTCTTTGTGGTACCTGCAGTACACAAAAACTTTTACTTCAGCAAACATATTAATATCTGGATTTTCCAATTTAGGACTAAATTATATTTATTTCACCAGGATATCCCCCTCCTCCCACATTCTCTTATATGTTATGATGTAATGGCTTTCGGAGGGGAAAAATAAACCAAAGGGAAAAGGGGTTCCTGTAGTGTTAGTTCATTAGTGGATTTCCGTAAATTAAATTCCACAGCTAATTCAGTAAGTAATGGTACATTTAAGTGTTCTGATTAATAATATAACACATTTTACACTTATCCACACAGTAACAATGTAATGTTAATGTAAATAAAATTGCCTTTGATATTCAGAAATAACAAGAATTTAATTTTTTATTTTGTATACAGACCTGAGAAAAATAAGAACCATTTGCCAAAATAAAAGCAAAAAAAACTTATCATTAATAATGATTTAAACTTCAAATTGTTGGAAAATACTGAAGACAGGTACAGTTCACTAAGCTTTTTTTAATTACTGTAGAGACTGTGCTAGAGTATATGATTTGGTACCTGAGCACCTGGGCTTGTGCAGGAGCTCAGACATGACTTAGAATACATCAGCGGCACAGTGCCAAGGACGCCAGGCTCCCGTTAGGGTCGCACTTCTGGGATGCGGCGGTGCAGCTTCTTGGCTCCAAGAGCAGCAGGCAGTGAGAGCCTTTAAAAATTTTGGTTCAATGTGTTTTCTTTTTGTTGATTTGGTGCATACGATGGTGGGGGTTATGCATTTTTGCTTCTCCCATCAAAATAGAGAAACTTCCAAAGGTTTGCTGTTAAAAACTCTTGATCTTTCTATAAACAAGTTTATGAAAGTGTAATGTTTCTTAGATTATTCCCTCTAGTGTACCGAATGAAATGATCCACTTGAAGCACCTCAGTGATCAGCGTTGCACGAATCAAAATTGAGCCTTCTTTCAACCGCAAAAATACTTTTGACCAGTGAGTACTGGAAATTTGAAAAGTTACTTAGGGTTTAGAATTTAGCTTCTTTAAAGAACTTCTGACTTTGGAGAAAAAAAGCTTTCCAAATAAAATGAGAATAAGCTAAATCCCTCATCCATATTATTCCCCTGAGAAATGAAATACTTTTTTAGTCCTTATAATTTAAGAAAACTTCTGAAGTTTAGAACAAGTAGTCTATTTTATATAATTTGATATGAGAGCTGTCATTTGTTTTGGGTTTGTAGATGTTTTCCCTGACTTTTTAAAGAGGAAAACAATCACGTGGTCATGTTGTTGTGCTCCTGTCCTGGGGCTGCTGTTCTTCGCCAGCATGAGTACAGGATGCTCCTGTCCTCCGGCGGTCACTCACGCCTGCATCTGCACACCACTGGAGACAGGCAGCCTCGATCTGTGGGCCAAAGTCCTACTGACAGGGACAGTGAGCTGGCAGCCCTTCTGGTTTGTGTGTCTGGGGCATCTTCAGCTTTCTTCAGGGTTTTTCTTTTTATTGTTTTTTTTAATTTTTTGTTTTGTGCTTTGGTTTTGGTTTCTACTTTTACAAGCCCCCACCACCGGGCATAACTTATTGCCTTAGCATGTCTTACTAAATATTATGCAACAGACCTATACAAACATTCACTTAGTGTCAGTCACACCATTTTTTAAATGCGGTATATTCACTTGTAAATAGTTTGTGTAAAATTTGACAGAAAAGTATATTTACTACACTGTAAATACATGTGATGATATATTGTATTATTTTGCTTTTTTGTAAAGCAGTCAGTTGCTGTACATGGATAACAAACATTTGATTATTCTCGTGTTAGTATTATTAACTTCCTACGACTGGGTTACATCATTTACAGAAAATGCTGTGTATTGTAAACTTACATTGTATATGATAATTTACCGCCTTTCCATTGGGCCTAAACTTTGACAGTTCCTTGTCTATAACCTTGTTCATATTGTAAGCAGTTGTATGCCAGCAGGAGAAATACTGCCCAACCGACAATACTGATCGTGATAGGAGAAATTCAGAGAAATGTGTCTCAGACCATTGTTGCTCCCCACTCCATGTTCCTCCTGTGTATGTACTCCTCTCCCCCTTTTTTAAAGTAAAATGTAAATTCAATCCGTTAAGATGTTGAGAAGTTATTTAATTTTTTTCACATATATCAAGTTCTGTTTTCTGGTTTTCCCCATTCCTCCCTGATCTTTTGACATTAAGGCCATTTCCTTTCTTTTCAGGACGATTTTTGGACTCTTTCTCCCCTCACCCACATGGGAAAAATGCTTCTCTTTCCAGACTGTCTAAAATAATTTTGGTGAAATGTTTTTTTAAGGCCTGCCAAACTCAGGGATGACTCTAGTCTCTAGGGTAGGCTGGCCTATTTTTAAATAAGCAGTCAGATAGAAATGCCAAGACAGCCTGAGATCAAGCAGTCAGAGGGCTTGTGTTAGATCCCCACAGTTCTCTGGCTTCTCACCTCACCTTCTGGGCAGTAGGTGCAGGTAGACCACCTCCACTGAGTTTTGCTATTTCATTTAGGCTGCCTCCCTTCGCCTAAGGGAGAAAGAATCTACCCCAGAGGCACATGGGCAAAATAGAAACACAGCAGTGTCACTGAACAAAGGACTGAAAGAGATGCCTGCAGCCACAGGAAGTGCTGGTCTATTTGTGGGCAGGCTGGGAAGGCAGGGGGCCCCACCTGGAGAGTTTGTGGATATTCTGGGTCCATCCCAAAGCCTACACCCTCCCCACGGCTGGAGTCCTGTGAGAGAGGGTGTATAGGTAAAGTCTCTTGGGCAAGTTTTCTAGCCACCCTGGTTTCAAGACCACTGGAATGGAGAACTGGAAATGCAAATAGTACAAATAGCTTTTTTTTTTCCTTTCCTATAACCTAAATCATCTTACTCAAAAGTAGCTGCCAATTTAAAACAAGCCTTTTTGCAATGTTATTTATGTTTCCATAAATGTTAGGACCACACTATAGCAACATAATCATTGCTGGTTTGAAACTCACATTTTGTTGTTACAAGCCTTAGCTACTCATAGATGAAAATTTCATAATGTAATGTGGAACTCTAATTTTAATAAATAGGTCTGACTTTTTAAAAAAAACCTTCTACAAGTCCCTTTATATTGTGTATGTACGTACGTATTAAATGTGCACCTATGTGCCTATTTAAGGTTCTCATATTGTGAGATCCTTAACGCATTGTCTACATCTGGGACAAAAAGCCAAGTAGGTAGTGATAAAACAGATTAAGCCTCCAAGATTATAGGGTTCAGAACTTCCCCACCCAACACTAGGAACCACTTTCTCCATGTAAAATGAAAAAGATAGTAGAATCTGAGTGGGGCCTTTTTCTGTTCATAAGTTCAGAAGGCATTGACTACCTTCATGGAAAGAAAATAGAAATATATCCTGTGCTGATTGTAGTCTTTGGTTCATGCCCTGCCCTGTGTCAGCCACTGCAGATCAAAAGAAGCTTGGCCTCTGCCCTCTGTGACCTCATGATTTAGTGGAGGAACTGCCACAGAAATGTCCCAAGTCTTGGGGTTACGAGAGAGGAGCAGGGCGACTGGCAGCACTAGAAACTGAGGCACTGAGGCTTGAAAATCCCCAGGAAGATTGTCCGAGTGTAGATAGGTCCCAGGATCTGTTGAAAGTGATCTTGTGTTGGTATTGTGGAGCATACAATGCATAAGAGGCAACTGAGGCTGTAGAGAAACTGCAAGTAGACCTGTGTCCAGACAGAAAGCAAAAAGACTGACTCGTGTTCTTACTTCCCTCCGTCTGTCTGTCCTCCGTTGGGGTTACAGTCTAATTTCCTACTTATACACATACATGGAGGCACACCTTAGCCCAGAACCACAAAAATAGCTGTGCTCTTTCTGTCCCTGCATATTACCAGGGAGCAAAGAAAGAAGACAGACCACATTCAGAACAGCACCCTCCAGTGGAAAATCCCAAACAAACAAGACAAGCAGGATGTAGCTCAGTGAAAGCCACTGCTTAGCATGAGGATGCTTTGAGTTCAATCCCTAGCACTGAAAAAAGGAAACTGTACTTCAGATTGAGGTTTCAATGATGAGGAAAATTTCTGAAATCCATTCCATCAGTTTATGCACTGATGAACAAGCAACAACTGTTATAACTCGGGCCCCAGTATAAAATCCAAGGGAGCAAGAGACCAAAAATTTAGGTAGCAAAGGCTTTACTTCCAGGCCTGGCGGTGAGTCTCCGGGAGCCAATTTGGAGACTGTGTCCCAGAGACTGAAGGGAGGACTTTAAAAAGAGGCTGGAGGAAAGGGGGGGGGGGAGAAACAAAGAAACCTGTAGAGCCATCAAACTTGTTGACCCGAGTCTGGAAACTGTATTGCTGTCCACTTAGCTCTGACAATCTCGGGAGTTCCTGGTGTTTCTCAAATTACTCCCATCCTACAGACTGACATTATCTCGGAGTGGCACATCTGCAGCAATATTTGGAGAAGAAAGTGGAGAGTTAATTATCCCAGGACAGCTCGTTTTCGCTAGTGGGTACGAAGGGGTCAAGAGTTACAAGAAGCTGAAACTTAAGTTTTACAAAGATCTGATATCTAACTCATTTGATGCATACAGAACAAAAGGAAAGCACCGATTGGGGTTTGGGCCATAGTATTTCCCGGTAATTTCTTTGAAGCTAAACAGTTCTTAAAATTGGGGCAGGCTCATTTTATGACAGATCATCACTGGGTCAGGAAGAGGTCACCAGAAACCCAAATTCTTTATGGCCTAGATAGATAGGTGAGGGGAGAGGGAGGCAATAAGGCGCCACACAGAACAGA